ACAAAATGACAAGTTTGACATCATCTACACTAGGGGAAACATCACCGAAGTATCACAAGATGAAGCGCTTTACACCCCAGCACCCAAATCAACAAGATGACAAGTTTGACATCATCTACACTAGGGGAAATATCACCGAAGTATCACAAGATGAAGCGCTTTACACCCCAGCACCAAAAACAACAAGATACAAGTTTGACATCATCTACACTAGGGTAAACATCACCGAAGTATCCCAAGATGCAGCGCAACACCCCCAGGCACCAAAATCAACAAAATGACAAGTTTAACATCATCTACACTAGGGGAAACATCACCAAAGTATCACAAGATGAAGCGCTTTACACCCCAGCACCCAAATCAACAAGATGACAAGTTTGACATCATCTACACTAGGGGAAACATCACCGAAGTATCCCAAGATGCAGCGCAACACATACACCCTCCCAAATCAACAAAAATCGCAGTTTTGACAAGAGGAGGAGGGGGAGAAGGAGGAGAAAAAGAAAAGGAAGAAGAAGAAGAGGAAGAAAAAGAAGAAGAAGGAGGAGGAGGCCTCCCTCCTCTTTCACTCACCTCTGGCTGGTCTCTAGGCAGTGGCATCCCAATGCTTGGTTCTAGCCTCCTTGGTATGGCTTTTCCTCTCTCCCAAGTTGTCTCCTCCTTCCCTCACACCTCTCCTTTAGCTATGGCAGGTTCCTACTTCTAAGGCTGTGGAGTCCTTCCCTCTAGAAGGGCTATGGGGACCCCTTTCAGCCTCTCCCCCTACTTCACAGCCTGAGGGCTATGGTGGACCACTCTCCTTGCTCCCTCCTAGCCTCTAGGTCACCTTTCTCAGCCTTACCACCATAGTCAGGCTACAGGCTAGCTCCGATCCTCACTCCCTTGCTTCTCTCCCTCTCGGACTCTTTCCAGGACTCATTTGGGCAGCATGGGCACCTCTCATGCTCAAATGAGAGTTGCGGCCTACACCTCCAGCTTATATAGGCTGGAACGGGTGCACCGCCCAAACTCTACGCCCCTCCAAGTGCCTCTAGGTGGAGCGAGGTACCCCAAGGGCCAAATTTCCGATTTTAGCCTCTCCGGGGATACCTGGGCCTTATTTTGGCCAGGTACATGCAGTCCGAGAGGCTGGTACCCTCTCGGACTACCCCTTGGCCTACCCCGGCGTCTTTTCACTTCAAAAAGTGCTGCCTTTTGGATACGACTACCCCAAAATGCATCCTTTATCAAAATTTGAGGGCCTAGAGGCCCGTTTTTCATTTTTTTTCTAGTCTAGGCCTCTTGTGAGTAGGCCGTTACATTTTCCAAAGTGGCGGCACAAATCTCAGCCTTGGATTTGGCTGAGATCCATGGTTTTCATCATTCCGAGCTACTCCCAAGCCCCCCTTGCTCCAAATTTGAGTCTTTTACTCCCACTTTCAATTTTTTTGATGTACTTGGCCCAGACCTTGGGCCAAATTCCGAGTTTTGTCTTGTTCCTCTCTTTGTTTTCCCTCCATTTTGCTGCCAACTCATTCCGAAGCTAGCCGTTTTGTGTCAGCCCACAAAAACGGCTAGATCTCCTCCTCCGCAAAATCAAAATTCAGATCTAAGGCCCAAAAATGAGCCGGCCAACTCACCTCAGCATTTTCCCTTATTTTTGCTGCTAAAATTCAGATATTGCCGAGATAATGCCCCAAGGACCTTATCTCTGCAATCCGGACTGCCCTCCTAGGATCTAGGAGGGCTGAGGTCATCATTGAGACCTGCAAATCCCTACCGCTGCAGTCGCAACCTGGCGGTACTTTTTCCTCCACTCATTCCTCCTCCTTTGTCTCATTCTCCCCCTTTTTCTCCCCTTTTTCTCTCCTTCCTCTCTTATTTCTGTTGGGCCAAGTGTCCAACAGCTGTTTCTCCTCTTTCCAACTGTCGGACCCTTCCCAAGGTCTGATTTTGCAGCAGGCATATGGCCGTTACACCTTGGACTGCAGTAGTGGCACCCCCAAGGTCCAAGGAGGCTCCTTTTTGCTGCCGCTGCTTCCAGTTTGAAACCCCCTTGCTCCGATTTCCTCCAGCCAGCCGTCTCGCCACGTGAAGCCCTCAGAACTTCGTTTTTCTTGGCCTGGTTGGTCCGGAATAACCCGGACAGCTGGCCGGCCTCCTCTACCTCTATACCCCCCTCTTTTCCCCTCGGCACCTCCCTCCGGCGCTTGCCGCGGCGACACTCATCATTTTCATCCGGACCCCTGGCCTGGGCGGTCCCGTCCACCTGATATCATGTTATTTTACTTTTATCGTTGTCGCACTTGATCCAGGGTCCCCTTGGGTCGCCCCGGGTACCCTCCGTCTTCCCCGTCTCACGCCCGTCTCGTCCGTTCCGCTGACAACTTCCGTCAGCGCCCGACTTCTCCTCTTTTTCTTATCGTTCCTAGCCCCTCCCTTTATTCCGGCGTCATCCAGATTGACGACCCGCTCTCGCGCGCCCTCATCCTTGGGACGGTCGCCGATTATTCCGTCGATGGCTCCGACCTTCAGCCCCCGCTGGCGGCTCCCGACACTTTATCCCGTCGATACCCGTCCTGCTAGTGTTTCCGCGGGTGCCGCCATTTTATCTAGGCCCACGTGGTCCCTGGCACTTCGGCCCGCCTGCATTACGTCTTTCCCTTGGTCTCACGCGGTTCCCGGTACTTTGCCCTGCCGGCACCACGCCGTCCCCTGGTCCCGCGTGGTCCCCGACTCTTTGTCCTGCCGGTACCGCCTCGTCTTCCGATCCCATGTGGTCCCCGACACTCCTGCCCCTCCTGTACCACGTCCTCCCTTGGTGCTCCTGACGTCCTTCCGCCTTGCGGCGGTCTCCAGCTCCCCCCGTTCCCTTTGTGTCCCACACGCCGTTCCGCTCCGGGCGCCGGTTCCCCCTAACTTGCGATCTCCTCGGCCCACCTGTCGCCGCGTCGCGTCAGCGCCTTGCGCCCTGTCCCTTCCCACTTTCTTCCTTACCTTGCTGCGCACCTCTCATGCTGCTACCAACTTCCCGACGGCCATCCTCCGTCCTTGGGGAAGGAGTCGCCCTTGCTATTCTCTCACATTCCTTTGCCGCTTCCCGCTTAGACAATTCCTCTTCAGCTTTGGCGGTCTTGACGACTCCGGACAACCTCTAGCCTCCTGTTGTCTGTATTCACGCTTTCGATCTTTCCAGCATTCCTTCCTCCGATTTTCTCTGTCGTGCACAAATTGGTCGAATACAGTCTCTCGAGTGACGGGAAATCATTCGGGACTCACCAGTCCCGACATATTCCCCCCACTCATTCGCGATGTCCTCACCGCGCACCGATCCATGGTCAGTAGGAATTTTGGAGTGATAGACAGACAGGGAAGGGGAGTGGGGTGGGATGAGTAGTTAGCTTGCCAGGGTTCTTTTTGTCTTTCCCACTCTTTCCTCTTGTCCTTCTTTAAGTTTCCGCCCCTCGGGGCAGGGGAGGGTATGGAGGGGTTAAGGTTTTTGTTTCGGGTTTCCTTTGGATTGCGTAACCTCCCCAAGCTCAATAATGCCTTTGTAACGAGTGCGTAACACTCTCTATGCATCAACGTCCGTCTCAAAGTTGTATCTCTTTCTCACTGAAATTCCCACATACCCAAGGGCTTCCCCACAACTTCCCTTATCGTTCCACAAGAGAGAGGACGACGCGCTCATCATCCTCCCCAGGGACCGAGGTGAAAGGGAGATTTTGGCGACGGATGTCACAAGGATCCTTTGCCATGGCTTCCTCCAGGTGCGAGCTAGCAACACGTCAAGGAGCTTAAGCAGTTTGGTATCTCTTTCCCTCATCAAGTTGACTAGCATCGCCCCTTGGAGGGGTCTGACCACAGACATGCTCTGCATCTAGTTTTTCATTGTACGTTATTTCTCGCTCTTGACAATGTCTTGAAGGCTGCATTCGTAATCTCAAATCTATCTTCCCATTTTATTGAGAAAACATTCTCGAGCAGAAATCCTTTTGGTTTCGTCCCATTCATTACTCTTAGGACATTCACACATTTTCAGTACAGTTTTTCCCCTCTTCGGAGCTCAGACATAGTCAGATCCACATGCATTATTCCCGGGTCATTCCTCCCGGCCTTTCTCAGGTCCTGCCAATTCCGCATGCATATCATCCTCTGCCCTTTCTTGCCCTTTACTTAATTGACTTTTCATGTGCAATGCTTGGTTCACCCCTTAGCCACTTCTCATCTTTTCAAGCTTATACGAGCCGATTACACAGCCAACTCTCAGTCCGCCAGTTCCAGTTCATACCATGTCACTTGCTCAAGTCCTTTTTGCGCTGGCGCCTTGCTAGACCCCCTTTTCTCAGGCCTGTACAAAGTCAATTACAATCTTTCTCTGTTCCGGCCATCTTGACAGGCCCCCTTTTTTCCAAGCTCATGCAAAATCAATTAGAAGTCTTATTTTCATGCGTATTCATTGGTAGATGGCGCACCTTCCCCCCACTCAAAACGCGATGTCCCCATCGCATAACTGGTCCTCACTCGGAGGCACGAGACCTTTGGCCCACCAACCGCAAGTCAAGGACACAAGCCCATCCGCTTCACAAAAGGAAGAGTGATCAGTTCCTCCCCAGCGGACGACGCCTCATCCTTCTACCCGGTCCGACCTTTCTTCTCTTACGTGGAAAGCACCAATACTGAGGTTCCTCCCCGCGTCTGTCAGGTAGGTCCAATCCAAGCCTACCAGTGCTTCGTCCAGCCGTAAGAGCGTTCCTCGCGAATCGTTCCTCCCGAGTGGTGATTTTCTGGATTCCGGCCTCTTCCTTCCAAGAGAGTTGGGGTGCTCGATCAGTTCGCGAGTGCAGTTACGAAGTCCTCGCAATTAGTCCCGAAACGGTTGTAATGTTCCGGCAGGGCAATGTCAATGCCCCGTGGTGGTGGCGGACTCCACCCGGTACCTCGCCCAGCCTCTCCCCTTGGATAGTGCCGCCCAACTTAGCGCGGACAGCCGTGGTCCAACCCAAATGGCCATGCCACCCCTCTATGACATGGCGTGTGGTTGGAGAGTAGCAAAATAGACTAGATGAGAATGACTTTCCTGTCCATTTGGCTCTCTTGCCCTTTGACGTTTAGGCATTCAACAGGAGGCGCAGTTGGAACTCCCCGACTAGAGCTCATTGTCGGAGGTGGTTCCGGACGTCCCGCACCGATCCAAGTGGTGGGTGTCTTAGTCCTTTAACCCTCATCCTCTTACAAGAGGAACAGGTCGCGCTGAGACTTTTTCCCTCAAGGAGATAGAGGTCTTTGGGGTCGCGGTGCATGCGCCGGTATCCCCCTCTTGCTGAGGCCAAAGACTAGAAGAAAAGAGAAATTCCATTTCAAGACTCTTTCCAAGTCCATTTCCAGTTGCCTAGGGTCCCCTGTTTATGCAATGCCTTTTCCAATGCTCAATTCAATTCCGATGCTCAGTCTCATTCCCAGGCTTAATCTCAGTCCAGTGCTCATTCTCAGTCCAATGCTCAATGCAATATCCCTTCCACGGCTGAGTCCAATATCTCTTCCAATGTTTTTTCCAAGGCTCAGCTCTTCCAATCTCTTTTCCAAAGTTCTGCTCTTCCAGTTCCATGCATCACAAGCAGCCATGCAAGGGGACCCCAGTGCCAATTCCAAAGAATGACCCTTGTCAGGGGCCGTTCCGAACAACCTGGTTAGGGTCGTTCTTTCCCTTTCCAAGTCGAACAGCCTGGTTAGGCCATTCTTATCCATTGCAATCGGACAGCCTGGTTAGGACCATCCTTATCCATTTCAATTGAACAGCCTGGTTAGGGTCATCCTTGTCCATTGCAATGTTAGCGCCCGAGGGGGTGGGCCTCAAGGACACGGATCCTATCTCGTCTTGGGGGTTAGAGGGCGGCCATCGTCTTAGGTTTTTACGCATGCTTCTTCCTTTTCCTCATGTCTTTTGTCATTCTTACCTCCATCCATACATCCGACTTAGCGTCGAGTACTCAAGTTGAGGATCGCGGCCCCAAGCAGCACTACCCCGCCTGACCGTTCAACCATTGCAAGGGGTGTTGCATCATTTCAATGTTTCCCTGCCACCTTTCTGACTTCTCATATGCTTCTCAATGCTCTGGGATTGCCTGGGGTAGGTTGGATTAGGCTCCTCGGGGAGAGGGTGCCTCTCTACCCATAGGTCCCCTAACCTCTCACAAGGACTCGTGGAGCGACTCATTCAATCATGGATACATAACTCAAAGGAAAGACTTTCGTCATAAATGTTTCTTGCAACGTTCAAGAGCTCACATGCCACTGCCCATAAAGTCAGCCAACCCCCAATCCCTTTCTTACTACCCAAAGGCTCATATTTCCCAAACGGAGCGAGTACTTATACAAAGTAGCCCTGATCACCCACCCTCTACTAGCTCCCTCAATCCCAAAAAGTAGTTTCATTGCAGTCCTTACAAGGAAACATAAGGAGACAGAGTTCGAATGCAAAGACAACATTACAAACTCGTCTCCGTCTAGATCCCTGTTGTTTCCCCTTTTTCTTTCCCTTAATCTACCCGGCCATCCATAATTTACGGCCATTCATAATTCTATTCTAAGTGCAAAACCCTCATGCCTTTCCCTGAAGAAGCAACCATTCGTACGAAGTAGCGCTGACTACCCAGTCCTTAGTCACTTCGGGCTTAGAAAATTCATTCACAAAAAGGAGTTCAAACGTGAAGTCCGAAATGGCAGCTCTGAATGCCCAGGGATCAAACCCTCCATGCTTCTCCTTACGACTGCTGTGCCTCTATCGGCCAGGTGGCCTGCATTGAGCCTCCCTCCTTGCGCGATCCTCCATTTCCTGCTCCATTTGCCTCTTTATTCCTTGGAACTGGAGGAGTGTCCGTTCTATGAAGAAGGTTGTTGGGGATAGATCCTCTCCCCTGCCCAACTTTTCCCTTGCCTTCATAATCCACTGATATCGCAAGATAGTGCCCCATTGATCAAACCAATCGCCGAACTCAGGTCCGAACTCTTCTATCCATTTGTCCTTTCTCTCACCCGGCTGCTCCCCTCTCCCCCGTTCTTCCCTTGTGGGCGTCGTTACCTCATCTTCCTCCTCGTCGCTGGTGAGGTCAATGAACTCAACGGGCTCATTCTCTCCCGGCCGTTGTCCTTCCTCTGGGTTCCCCTCTTCCTTACTACTAGGATCACTGTCTGAAGGCAACTCTATTGGCTCCCCTTCCTTCAGTGGCGACGGTCCTCTGGTCCCTTGCTTTTTGCCCCCCCTGTTCACAACTAGGTTGTGACCAAACCCCACATACAACTTCCTGGAGCTTGACTATCCGGCTTGCCTTGAGGACTGTCCCTCTTCCGGCCTGTTAATTGCATTGCTATCATTTTCATTCCCAAACTCCATTTTTTTGTTTTCTTGTTGTCTTTCTTCTTCTTGCCTGGCCCTGTTCATACATAACAGTCACGATACCCCTCATACACAAGCATTCCATTCCACTCCCATTTGCGGGTTTGGAGGTTTCCCTAAGACTCTTGCTTGCCCCCATATAGTTGGTAACCCCATTATCCCTTAGAACCCTCGACACAGTGTCCCAACACATAGGTGCCCCATGTAGGCAGCCCACGGCATCACCCCACAAAAATTATGGTACATTGTCCCAGCGCATAAATACCTCGTGTAGACCGTACCCAGCGTTACCCCACAAAAACTATAATACATTGTCCCGTGCTCCCAGGCCCAGTCACAGTCAGCCCAGGCCGTCTCCCCACGTTGCACAAAAGTCAAGACACACAAACGAACAATCCCTGTGGTCATGATCACATCCACAAGGAGGCGGTCCAGAACTTATAGCCAGCTGCCTTCCTTTCAGGCTGTCAATTCCCCAGTTTCCGTGTCCTGGGCATCTTGTAGCCACTGTTCCACCAGATCCCTGCTCAAAAATCTGATGAGTCTCTGTCCCGGAAATGGACCTCTTATGCTAGTACCATCGAGATCCTCAAGTTCAAATGTGTTCAGTCCCACCCGCTTAGCGATCCTGTAAAGCCCTTTGAATCTTTTTCCCTGCTGCCCAGACCATGTGCTTTCAAGAGCTGAGTTCCTAACTAGCACCTTTTCCCCCACCTGGAGTGGCTCCTTCCGAATGTTTTTGACCTGGTCCCATCTTCCTTTATCCATCATTCGGCTATCCGTCACACGATTGACGACTTCCTCGAGTGTCTCCTCATTTCTGGCGACTTGCTGACAACGTGCGGTGATTAACTCTTCTGTGCTCAAGTGTGGGTCGTCATCTAGCCTGTTCCAGGTAGGGACCAACGCTTCTATCGGAAAGTCGATCTCCCTTCCATACCAGAGTTCTGCTGGAATACATCCCGTTGTTCTTTTTGGAGTCATGTTCTCGACGAAGACTGCCTGCTTGAGAAACCGTGGCCAACTTCCCGAATTATCTGCTGCCAACTTTGCAATTGTGTTCTTCAAAGTCTCGTGACCCCTTTCTACTGGTGCATTTGCCTCAGGATGGTAGGGCTCGGTGATCTTGATCGGTACGCACAATATCTTAAACCTGTTCAATACGTCCTGGTTAACGAATTTTGTCCCATTGTCTGCTATAAACCTGCGCACAAAGGGGTGTCTTAGGTAGAAATCTCCCACCCAATCGGCCACTGCTTTCCCCGTCTTCTTTTCGAGGGCTACGGCTTCTTACGTAGCCACTGAGATTATCCCTCGCATCCAAGATGTATCTAAACCCATCCGTCGATACGGGCATAACCGCAAGATCGAGGTGAACAAGGTGTCCGGGTCCCAGTACCCGAGTGGGTCTAAGGGGCTCGTAAACCCGTACTGAGCTCCTCTCTTGACATATCAGACACGTCTGACAGTACGTTGCGACCATGCCTGCCATTCCTGACCAGAAATAGAGGGGCACAATCTTTGCAAGTGTCCCCTTTCACGATCGGTGACCCCCAACTAGCCCATCATGCATTGCCTGAATTACGTCCAGCTGCCTAGACCTCCCACAAACGACGCGTCTAGGCATCATCCCTTCCTTCCTCTTGAACAGGTGGCCATTTCTTATGACATACTTTTTTACTTCCTCCCTTGCCTTGGGACTGACTTTCGTAGGTTGTTTGTTCCCTACAAGCAGCAGGCTGATTTCTTTGAAGACGCCCTCGTACATCTGTATGAGGAAGAATTCCTGTTTGTTCTGATCCGTACCCCGCTCCTCCCGAGTGAGATTGACGCCATCAGCTCTTCTCTCGCCGAAAGCTAAATGAAACTCCTGGCACGCCTTTCTTATCAATTGAGTTTTTTCCGTTGTTAGAAACCCTTCCACTCCTATTTTCATGGTATCTGCTACCTCATCTGGTATGCGATGCCCTTCCGTTGCACGTCTCTCCCTTATAACCCGTAGGTATGCGATGCCCTTCCGTTGCACGTCCCTCCCTTATAACCCGTAGGATCTCCTCCTCTTTCTTCATGGCCTCTTCCTTTGATGTTTCTACTAGGATCGAGACCGGCTTGGCCTTCTTTCCTACGGGTTTGCATTTTCGCACACTGCCTTCTGGGATCGTTCTCCTAAAAAATGAACGGTCGGGATTGGCCTTGCTATTTCCATGATAGGGGGCTCAATGCTAACTATCTTCCCATTCAGGCAGTAGCCTTTTCGAACCTCATCCTCAAACTTGGCAAGCGCTGCCGGGTCCACCCCGACTTTGTGGTACCTGATTGCCTTAACAAGTTGCAACAGGTCTGGGACTTCGAGCACTAGCTCGGGGGTCTCGTTACGGCCTTCCTTTGGCTTGGGCAAGCTGGCCCCAAGTTCAACTTCCTGCTCCTTTTCCGCCACCATAACCCCCAGGGACTCGTCCTCAGGCCTTCTCTTCTTTACGGGCAGACCCATCTTGATCCATTCCTTTTTACTAAAAGCCTCCTCGATCACAATTTCTACCCTTTCCCTCATGCCTTCCATTCGTGCGAATGCCCCCTTCCGCGCACTTTCTTCGAATGTCGGAGACCAGGTTGCCAATTTGCCCTTCGGAGGGTCTCCTCCGGTCCCAAGAAGTCGAAGGAGTTCCCCGTGGCCAGTCACTGGGTCCTCAATGTCTACCATGTATGTGCCGTCGTGCAGATGCATTCCTATCATTTCCACATTGGCGCACCACGATCTCCCGAGGATTACGTCGTGATCCATTTCTTCCATCACGGTCATCCGCTGAAAGGACCAAATGGATTCCCGGATTCCCGCCCTGACTGCACATTTGGTGACATACCCTGTGAAAAAAATTTCACCACCGGCTCCCCGGATACTCCCTACTACCTCCTTGCTTACCGTGCACCCCGTGACCGTTGCGAAATCTCGTCGTATGAGGGTGATTTCTGCTCCGCCGTCCACTAACGCGTCAGTGTGGTGAGTTCCGATTTGAACTTTTCCCAACTGGTAATGCATGAAAGCTAAGCTTTGTCCCGGGTGGCGCCCTCATGACTTTGCCACCTTCACGATCCGGTAGGCTTAGGCGGATGTCTGCAAAGGCTTTCTCCAAATCTCCCAGGCCCCCTGGAATGCTTTGGAGGTTGGAGACTCCTTGCGGCGGCTCGGCCTCGTCCGTGTCCTGCTCTTGCAGTTCCGGGGCCTCCTCTACCTCTACGCGCTTACGCGTTAGCAACTGCCTGAGTCCTTTAAGCAGCCTCGGGCTGGCTTGCAGCATGGTTTGAAAGGACACCGATACCATGGTACCCATTAGCTTACTCAAGGTGCCCTCGATTTCTGGCGAAGTCAGGATCGGAATTTGATACCTGAACTTCTTCTTTGCCGCCGTAGCCTTGTCTACCAGTTCGTCCTCCCTTGGCTTCCCATAGACCTTCTTTGTTCCCCGGCTTCGGTCTCTTGCTTGCCCGTGCTAGTCCCTGCGAGTTCTTCCATTACTGTATCTTGAATAAGCTTCTTTTCTGCGCCGGCCCGGCAAGTGGTAATATTTACCCTATCCTGGCCATTGCCTTGTAGGATAAAATTGGCCTGTGGTCCCCGTCCCCTTGGCTGGTCCCAGACAATCTCGGCTATCGGCTCTGCTTCTACGACAACTATCTCTAAGTTATTCAGGAGGATGACGGCTCGCCGCATCCCTCCTGGCGAGTTCCAATTGACACGCTCCCCCGTGGGTCCGAGGATCTCGCCTTTGAGGGACCTACTACACCTCTGCAGCTCGATATCGTGATTGAGTCTCGGACAGGCCCGTACGAAATGCCCGATCATGGTGCAATACTTGGATTGTTCGTTGGCCGGGTCCCTCCTGCCAAACCCCCGGTTTGCTACAGCTGCCGGAACCACGGCCTCTTGGGGCGGGAGGGCGGGTCTGGACACTTGCGCCTGCATTACTAACAGCGCATTTTCCATTCTGTCCATCTTGCTGTCAACCTCGTGCACCCGTTCGTGCAGGCTCTCTATCCCCTTCTTGACCTTCCCTTCCTTAAGCAGGGTTAGCGTCTCGGTGACCACTGTCTTTTCCGCAAGGTCTGTTACGGTGCTGAAGTCCACATCTCTCGTGTATTCGAACTTGTTGGTCTGCAGGTATGCTGACAAAATCTTATCTTTATCAAACTCGGAAAACTGCCTGAGGAAGTATTTACTCATTATGCGGTCCGTTACCCCGGGAATTCGCAGAGCCACTAACATGAACGCCCTTAGGAAATCGTTGTAAGTCGCATAGTTTTTCCTCCGGACCGCGGCTAATTCGGCCTTTGTTGCCATTTTTTCTGCCTTCAGGTATTTCCTCATCATCTCATTCCTGGTTTCTTTCCAGGATCCACTGGAGACGATGATGGCCATAATGTCCCTTCCCAAGCTTAGCGACACGTGCTGCCCCAGGTGCTCCATCTTTTCCTCTTCCGTCCAATTCAGTAAGGCTGCTAGGTTTTCATAGTCTATTAGAAACTCCGTAATGTTGGCCCCATCGAACGTGAGTTTCTTCTTTGAATCTGCGAGATACCCCTGGCTCTTGTTTAGTGTCCTGGTGAGGGTGGCGACTACCCTCTTGAGACCATCTTCGGAGCCACCCGCTTCTCTGGCCGCACTGGTCCCTTCCCCTGCCTTGCTTTTCCTTTGCTTCTCCCTGGTTTTCGGCGTTCCTTCTGGGTCGAACCATCCTAGCACTCTTTCCCTAAGGTTCCAGAGTCCGTCACACGCCCTTGTTACTTTCGGCGTAGTGGGCAGTCTGCTAGTGCCGCTGTCGATGGCGGGTGGGGTCATAGTGTTTTCAGTCTCCTCCGTCGGGGGGTCGTTTTTGTCCTTCCCCTTCTTACTAGGCGTTCTTTTGTGGCTATTATCCTTCCCCTCATACCTAGCCTCGTCTTGACCGGTCCTGCGTCCCTCACGTGACCCTGCGCCCTGGGGGTCCTCTTCATCCTCGGCCATCATCTGCTCGATAAGCCTTGCCTTAAATTCTGCAGTCTGCTTTTCTATCTCTGCCAATTTACGACTAGCATCCGAGACTTTTGTCTTTTTAGGGGTGGCTCCTGCTGAGTTCCGAGGGCTTGTTCTCATATCATTTCCCCCTTCCCTGTTTTCCTGAGGTCCCCTTTTGCTACCCCCAGCTTTCCCCGAGCTTTCTCCAATTGAGGCATCCTTTCCGTCTTCTCGGGTTCCTTCCAGTTTGGCTGACTCTCGATCCTTCGCTAATCCCTCGTTTCGTTCCCCATCCCCATTCGTGCCCTAATTCCCTCCGCTCTGCTGGTCATCGATTCCTTCCTCAGTCGCCATTTCTTTACCTAGCCTGCACATGGAAAAAAAGTTTTGCGAAAAAGTGGCCGGTTGTTCATAACTGCCCTAGTCCCGACCCTAAAACCCGCCTATTCCCATGTTTTTTTTGCGTCTTATATTAATCGGTACGACTTTTCTGACTTTTTTCCCCCGGGCATCCTTCAGGTTTTCTTCTACCGGGGCCTTGCCGCCGTCGCTTGGCATTTCATCACTGTCGCGCTTTGATTCTTAGGGCAGTGCCTGAGCCCAGTGGTTTCCCTATCGGAGACGGCCCTTTCGGCTTATTGGCATCCAAGTGCCCCAGAATTTTTGGAGCGGGTGGTCTTCCTGGTTCCTCCCTGCCGCATCATTGAGTCGGCCGGAACTCCAACCACTGTCCCTCTTTTGTTGATGGCTGCCTGTTTATCCTAGTACCCATCCATTATTTCCCTACCTCTTCCCGTCGCGTTTTCTCATGCTGGTCCCTCAGGCCTGCCCTGCTCATCCGGTTCTTCGAACAGGTCGGCCACCCCAGCAAGATAGTTTTCTCCCATCTCTATTTCCCTAACGATTATTGGTTCATACTCCTCAAACGCCAAGCGAGGCAACCCAAATATCAAAATTTCAATCAGGTCAAGTAATTCCCAGGCCTGATTACCCCAGAACGGTCCGTGCCTGACCGACACATCGTAAAACATCCCCGTTGTCTGTGGTCGAAAGTGGTGGATCCAGACCAGGGTCGAATCCACAGGTCCCTAGCCCTTTTAAGGCTGCCAAATACCAGGTCCACCATGAAGCGGGGGACTCAGCACCTCAGCCCTGTCATTGGGGCCTTAAACTCTTGCCAACCTCCTACTTCCACCCAGGTCCTCAACCCCACATTCCTCCTCCCTCGCACTTCCTGGCCTACTCGGTTCAGTACCCTAGTAGCCCTTTGAAAGATTGGTAACAACCCATGTCCTAGTGCCAGCTCCGTTCCTAACATATGCCACCCAAGCTCTGGCAAGTATACGGTTCCTGTCACCCTGAGGTCAATGTACAGGTCGTCCCCTGGCCCCCTATTGATCCTCATACCAACCCACAAACATTCCACCATCATGAATGCCTGGTCCCTTCCCAGGGTCACGACTCTCCATTCGGTATCAATCCCTCGGACCCTGTAACTTGCCGGGAGCGATACCTCCCATTTGCCCCCACATTTCGTGGGTGGCCGCGGGTGCGTGAGCCGTCGCGACATCCGGGCGCGTCTCATTGCCATTGTCGATTAGCGGTCCCCTGCACAGTTTAAACAGCAAGCGAGTTTGCTTATTCCATCCATTTCCCGGCCCTTACCCGAGCAATTCCTTGGTCCTTATCTCAATGCCTCTTTCCCCTTCTATCTCTTTTCCTTTCCTCGGCTCTTTTACCAGCCTGTTTCTACTCCCGTTGGCTCATACAACCGGTGTAAATCATCCACGTACGTCATCCCTTGACTTATTTCCCGTCGGACGACGCCCCATAGAACTTCCTCCCTTACGACCGGGGCCCTTGGCCTGGTGGTAAAAACGGCGCGCAGAGTCCGCAACACCTCATACTTCTGCTCCCCGCTAAACGGCCCTATTTCTAGGAAGGCCCGGTAGTATTCACGGTGTATCATTGTGTCCTCATATGTCAGAGTGGCAAGGTCAGCCACCGCGCGTCTGATAAGTTCCACTCCGCCTAGCCTTTCCAGCAGGAAGGGCGGCAGTCTCATCCGGACGTTCTCATTGGGTAATTCAAAGCTCCCAACCATGGCTACCCTAAGGTTTGCTGTTACATCATCCATCCCTCGGTCCGCGAATTCGATTCCCGCCTGCCACACCAACTGCCATGCCCCTTCGAACATGCCCAATGGATCTTTCCCTGACGCCAACATAACTCCAAACTCCCACCACCCATCCTCTGACATATACAACCGCCCTTCTGCACGCACATGCCCCCGCGGGTTTGGGTTCCATTCCCCAGTCTCATCCGCACGCCACTCAACTTTCGTTACTAAGTAAACCATGTTTTCCGCAAGTTCGACTCCGACCCAATCCACTACCTGGTGCCAGCCTCCATTCGTTGTCGGCAAGCTGACCTCTATCCCGCCTGGTACTTCCCTAGGCGGTTCAATGCCCAAGGGGCATTCCTCGAGGAACGTCCTTCTTCGCGCCATCACACACTCGCCTTTGATCTCCTGTCTCGCAATCCGCATTGAACCCTACAATGGCAAGACATCCCATTCCCTTATCTTAGCAATTTTTCCCATATTTGTCTGGCCCCACAGCTTCCCTGCCCTTAGTCGAACCACAGTACTTCGAACAGTTTGAACACATCATCCACATAGCAAGGTGTTGCTGCTACCTCACGGCGGATTATGGCCTCCCTAGTTTCCGGGGTCACCTCCTGCTGGTCATTCCTTTCAATATCCAAAATGATAAGGACCTCCCGGGCTCTATCGTCGTGGAAGGGCCCGTATTTCAAGGACGTCCTATAGAATTCCCCTGCCAGCCATGTGCAGTTCACGTGTATTCGCTCCATCGTGTCGGCTACCTCTGTTACATGATCAAAACCCCCAAACCAGTTCGCCACGAACTCGGGTACCCAGCTCTTGATTCGTGCGCCAGGCGGTTTAAATTCCTTCCATCCTCCCATCACGACTCTACCGCTGACCATATCCCATCCTTTGTTAGCAAATCTTTCCCCCGCCTGTCGAGCCCTTGCCTCAGCGTCCCCTAAAAGCCACATCAGGTCCTGTCCTGGCGCGAGCGTTGTGCAGAACAGGTGCCAACCTTGTTCAGAGAGAACGATCGTCTCGACTGATTCCACCCTTCCTTCCACAATCTCCTCCCATCCTCCCTCTTCCCTCAACGGGTTCCAGGCACGCTCTATCCATAGGCACGATAGCTCCGGCACAATCTCATATCCCCGCCAATCACATGTGGTCCCCTTCCATTCATTGCTCGGCGGTACTGACATCTCTACTCCCCTCCCGACTCGTCTTGGTTCCCATGTGCAGTCCCATAGCTCGAGTTCCCAGGCCATCGCTCCCTACCTGCACATAGCCGACAACCCGTTTTCCCCAGGTAAGCCCCCCCCTCAGAAGTCCCAGCCCTCTATCTCATCCCTGTCCTCCTCATCACTGAAATCCTCCTCCTCGTCTAAGAACATCTCTTTCACCCCTTCC